GGGGGGGGGGAAGGGATTGTTAAGAATGGAGATTGACACCCCTATTGTTAGCAATATACCCTATTAGGTCGACCTCCACGTGGTTCCCCCTAGAAACCATCGTGAACAATTCTTATTGAAATTGTCACGATGTGCTAACTGACCTGCTTCATCCTCATCTATCATCCTTCACTGGTGCCCCGCCGGTGTATACCGATAGCGCGGGTGGGGTTACCATTCCATTATCACCCATTAAAAAAAATCCGTTTAGGGGGATTTTTAGCAATGGGGTCTAACAGTCCTATTGCTAGCAATGTTACGAATCAGGTCGGTCTCCACGCGATTCTCCCTAAACTATCGTGATTAATTTATCGTTGAATGATGGGTTGAACTGAGCTGTCTTTTCATCCTCACCTATCATTTTTCACTGGTACCCCGCCAGTGTATACCGATAGCGCAGGCGGGTTTACTATTCCATTTTCACCCATAAAAAAAAAAAACATCCGTTTGTCTAAACAAAATAAGTATAAGTTACTAGCGGCCCATCCCGGCTTCGCACGGGTGGACATTTTTACGACATTTTAAAAAGTGGTTATTGTGACATAACGATAATAGTTGGGCATATAGTATCGCGACGTTTTTTGTAGGTATTGATATTTTCTTTAATATTGTAGAACATACTTTTGTTCTATCACCAATAGTTTCCGCAGTGCACGCGACGAAAGATATTTTTTACAATTTTTTAACACTTTGAGTTAAATTACTAAAGTTTTAGTAAAAATCCCTAATCTTTTCTAGCAGTAAATATAGCCTATGTTACTCAGGATGAATATAGCTTTCTAATGCGGGAAGAATTTTTGAAATCGGCAAAGTAATTTTTGAGTTTATTCATTACAAACATACACACAAAAATACAAATCTTTCCTCTTTATAATATTAGTGCAGATTAATAATTAAGATATAATAAATTGGCAATTCCACAAAAAAAACGACTTCAATCGTGGCAAAAGCAATCATTTTAAATTTAAAAATTAAAGGATTGAAATGATTTTGTAAAAAATATCTGCGGGATCATATTGTAAGTATATCCTTTCAGATAAAAAAAGTTGTGAGGAAACAAACATAAAAAAAATACAAGCGTAAATACAATTGAAATTTTTAAAGTCTTTTTGAAGTCGGTTGTTAATAAAAGTATACTATTATTATGGCGTGAATTTACTGGGTACAGAGGAATAACATCTGAGTCTTCAGAAATAGCAACGCATGGAGGGTATCATGGGCGAAACAGTATACTCTGTTATGTCCATGGTACCGCTCATGTCTATAGATGACGGTTACCACTTTCCATCAGGTGGGCCGTCAGCTTGTTTGCCATTCTAAGTTGTATAAAAAAAAATATTATGATTATATTCAATTTTAGACCAAGTTAGTTAATCAGACCTACTTCACCTTTAGCAAAGCACAAAGTAACTAGTAAGTTACACTTTCAATAATAAATCTCTACGTGTAATATAAATATAATTATTATATACAATAAAATGTCACAGCTCTGTTCGTGTGCGCACAGTAGCACCTACCTTCTGCTTAATATGTAGATACATACATATATACGATACTTTTTTTTTTTTTTAATGGATGATAATGGAATGATGATCCCGCCTGACTATCGGTATACACTAGCGGGGCACCAGTGATGGATGATTGGTGAGGATAGAAAGGCAGATCAGTTAGCCCATCGTGACAAATTCATCGATAAATTAGTTACGATAGTTTCCAGGGGGAACCACGTGGAGGTCGACCTGGAACCATATATACGATACTAAAGTGTAATTAATATCAATAAAGTAGAGATTAAAAGTGATGACGATTTTGATTTATAATATTAGTAAAATAAAATACGGCATAAAATTATTAATTTTAATATGTTAATTATAAAATGTTGAATAAAAGTTAAACGACATGATGAAATTCAAACTGAGATCTTGAGAATAGATGACTTCAGGAAACTATTTTGAAATGTCCACTCATGAAATGTCCATTGTCTCTGTTTTTTTTTTGTGTGTGTATATATATATATATATATATATATATATATATATATATATATATATATATATATATATATATATATATATATATATATATATATATATATATATATATATATATTGTTATTATTAACTCTTGTACTCATATATATTTAAGCCGTCAAACAAATATTTCGATGTTTTTAACATCGAAATATTTGTTTGATTCTCTAAATAGCGTTTTCATGGCAAAACTAATAAAAATAAATAAGTTACAATCACTACGTCAGAGGGGGTCATTGTTTTACTGGGAAACCGTACGGTTTACCTTCGTTCTGACATTTGCAGTGGCGCGTAGATCGTTCAAGATAAACAGAAATCGTTTGAAATGGTTTCTGAGAAAATTGGACACATCTCTATGTCATAATAATGTAGAAAGATATAGAAAATTTTTCTTATTAACCGAGATTAAAAACTTTTTGCAGAGCAGATTACATAATATTTTTTTTTATAGATTAATAATTCTTATTCTGTGGTAATATCCGCGGCATTATCTTTCTACGATCTGAGCCTTCAAAATTTAAATATTTCAACAAAATATAATGTGTCATGAACCATTCATCACAGATAGATTTGTCATCTATGAATCATAGAATAATAATATATTTTATTTACGCATCCATCGCTGGATTTTATTCATTTTAAAATTAGAATAATTATATTTTTAGTCCATTTTAAAATACGAGTAAACAAATATTGAGCAACCAAATAATTTTAGCAAATAATTAGGTATCTAATATGATTAGAAGAGATTTAAACATGATGGCTTAAATACACATGTGTACAAGAGTTAATGATAAACAAAAAAAAAGTTGAAACAAAAAAAAAACAGAGACTGTGTTTCATCAATGGACATTTCAAAATTGTTTTCTGAAGTTGTCTACACTCGAGTTCTCAGTTTGAATTTCATCATGTCGTTTCACTTTTAAACATTTTATAATTAACATATTTATAATTAATAATTTTATGCCGTATTTTACTTTATCTTAGTAATAAAATAATAATAAAATAGTAACCAGACGATGTTTGATGATATTTATAAAAAGATGACATTAAAAATAATAATAACAATTTTTAAAAATTTTATGTTTGTCTTCATCTTTGTTTTGACTATTGGTATCGAGGATTAACTGTTCTAATTGCTAGCAATTTACCCAGGTCCCTCCTAGAATCCAGCGCGTTTCATTTCTGACGAATCGGTCACGTTGGACCAACTGACCTGACGTTGTGCTAACCTTTTTTTTTATACAACTTAGCATGGCAAACAAGCTGACGGCCCACCTGATGGAAAGTGGTAACCGTCGCCTATTAATATGAACAGTACCATGGACATAACAGAGTATACTATTTCGCCCATGATACCCTCCATGCGTTGCCATTCCTGAGGACTCAGATGTTATTCTTCTGTACCCAGTAAATTTACGCCATATCCCACCCTTCAAACTGCTTCACGGTAGAAACACGAATGGGACAGAGGTGGCCAAGCAATCGACTTTTGTACAAAGTCTCCTTCTGGTGTAACCTTCTATTCCTTCATTTATATCCAGCATATACCGATATTGAGTGAAAAAAGTGTTGTCCTCCTCTCTCGTACTTGCTGTGCCCAACAGGGTCCATAATTGAAGTTGAAATGTTATCGACTAATTATATTATGGAATGCAATAAGAAATAAATAAATAAATATTGCAAGCGGGGTTATAATTCCATTGTCATTTGTCAAAAAAGTACAAAATATCTAAAAATATGACTTGAGTTAGTCATTTTTTCGACTCAGACTGCCATAAGTGTTTCTTTTTTTATTATATTTTTAAATATTGTTAAATTTTATTTGTTCTTCTTGTATACATATTTCCTTTTTTTATGCAATTTAGGTGTTTACCAGTAATTATTACAATATTTGTTATATACTTATGATGTAATGTTACAAACAGCCTCACTAGAATATCATTGTAACAAATTTTAAGTAATACTAAATAAACAAATAAACGTTATTTAATCAAAATTTATTTATTTATTATTAATAAACTTTAATTAAATAAAATAAAGTATTTTTTAATGATAATTAATTAAAAAATAAGTGACTGCCACTTTATTAAATAACATTTAAGTTTTTTTTTAATTTTGTGACATAAAACAATTAATATTATAAAGCTATGAACATCAGTACGATTCTCTAGTTTTTACAATAAATCTTTTACTGTGCAAGTTGTACGGATATGGAATGATTTGCCAGCTTCTATACGAAATATACAAGTTCTGCTACGTTTTAAAAACAAAGTTAAGGATTTTTATTTGAGCAAGTTGTCGTCATTGTAATTAGCTTACTTATTTATGTACATACTTAACAATTTTATAACTTTGTTTTATGTATTTATATTGGTGGCTATAATATTTTTACATGTATATGTATGTACATATATTGGTGGCTATATTTATACATGTATATGTATGTATATTAAATATATACATTTAATAGAAAGTAAGGATATGTATTTATATATTTACATTATTGCAACTTTCAATAAATATATATATATTTATTTTAAAATGACATAATTTTTATCCTGCCTCCGATCAAACTGTACAACTACTCCTCTTCATACAAAGGTTGCCTGGAAGAGATCGCTTTTAGCGATAAGGTCGCCCACTTTTCTCATTGTGATTATTTCTTGTAATTATTTATATTTATAATAGGTTTACTATTGTAATCTTTTGGAGGAAACAATAAAGAGTATCTATCTATCTATGAAAATGAAGAATTTTAATCCTTTTTGTAATGAATAATTAAAAAAAATACTTAAAATATTAAAAAAAAACTCTTTTCTATAAAAAGCTGCACTATAGCGGAGTAAAATGGGCTGAATTTTATTAAAAAAAACTTGCAAATCAGGGGTAAGTTGTTAGTGTTAGATTAAATGCCACTACAGTACCCAC